AACTTTCATAAGACGGAATAATTATATAGGAAACATCAGTATTAACTAGCTTACGTAATCAATTTGGCATAAGACTTTCCAGCAGCAGAACCACAACATGACTTGTATTTCTTCTTTGAACCACATGGGCAGGCCTTGTTTGGTGGAGTTATCTATACCATCAAGAATCATGAAAAATATAAATGTAGGCAAAATTTACAAGAAATATATAAAGGTCAAACAGTTCAAATTTACATGGTAGAATGCTTATATGCAATAAATCTCTACCTTTCCATCAAACTGCAAACCACTTTTATCATGAGTCACTTCTGTACCATTTTTAGATGAATACACAGCTTGCTCAGATTTTGCTATGTCATCATCACCACAGTTTGCCTGAGAGTCATGCGGATGCACTAGAACCAATATATGAAGAAAAGTGAGTTGTGCCACAAAGGAAACTTAGTGGTAAAAAGTCAAAAAAAAAGAGGCAATCATTAAAAGAATTGGCAAAAAGTGATATTGGTAGGAAATGTTCACTATATTCTACCCATACACAATGGGAAAACGAGAAAGTGGAGGCGCGTAATCACAGATTAAGCAGGCAACGTGTGAGGGGCCTGCTCAGCATATTTCATGCATTTTGATTTTTGAAGAATCATATTCATGTATTTGTTATAGACTAGTTGTGTGAGCTTGGTCCACCCACACCCTAGCTAGCCGTGTGGAGGATGACATGTTGACCTCAATTATGGGAATACGCATTCCCTCACTAGAATATACCTCGATCTCTACCCCTAGTCTCCCATAGACATCAATTGGTGCTTTCATTGAAAGCTAGAGCATATTAAGTGAGTTCCTCTCGTGGACGGAGTATATGGCTTAGAAAGGCTGATAAAAATTAAAATAAAGGCATATAAGAGCCCTGACCTTGTCGCCCCCACTACATGCTCATGCCGTGTCAACAAGGTTGCCTTTGAGGATGTAACTATTTTTTGGAGGCTGGAGATTTGTTTATTCTCTTCAACCCCTTAGGAGTTAGGACAATTGTACTAGAACCTGCAAATGGGCTAACATGGTTTTTCTCTACTAAGCCGAGCAAATCTCGCAATATCAACATATTCGTTAGTTGTTGGTCTCATAGGCTTGGCCAATGCCATGCGGGCATGATGCCACGAGAGTTGATGCCTCTTCAAGTGCATACCATATCTTTATACGGAGTATATATTACGGTGTAGTACTTTCTTATCTTATTGAAAACACACAATTTTCCGGGTGGAAATGTATGGGCCTGACGAACACGGGATTACAGACTTACAACTGACTCGGCATACCTACTTGATCTGCTCTTGCCAAACTTGCCATAGAACAAGAGAACAAGGGGAGAAAGTGATCTCCATGGCACCCACCTCAGATGATGATGAGTCTGTCAGGATCTGGTGATGCTTGTTTGTAACTTCTTGAAAAGGAGGACTTCATCTTGAATCACGCCCTTTCCCTTTTTAGCACTGGAGCGAAGAGCACCCAACCTTGTTGGATTGATCAAATATGCAGTATTAAGGAAGAGCAACATGTGTTAGAGTAAGAAAACGAAAATAAGCTAGAAAAAGGTCAGAGAGTTTGGTGACAAACTTAAATGGGGTGTCTTCTTCAAGGTCAGCAGCAGACGACTAAGAATTCCAGCAATAGCCAGCTGAGAAGGATGCATTGGTGGGAACATCAACTGGCAGTCATATGGCTTCCTGGATCAGGTTTGAGAAGGGGTCTCCTAGGTGATGAGCTTCTTTATAAGAAATGTCCCTAGATAGGAGTAAAATGCCATCAATATACCAAAATATGAGTGACATTGTTTTTATCCCCTAAATAAGAGTTTGACAGTGTGAATGGTGGTAGTGTGATGACAACATAGCAGTGTGAATTGTGGCAATGTGATGGTGGCAGTGGGGTGGTGGACTACCGGTCAACAGTGATCAACGCGATGGCACTCCGGCGTCCCACAGCGGCGCTCTAGCGGCAGCACTACATTGACTGGTGGCGGCGCTCTAGTGGCGCGGGACTATGTGGTAGTGTGCAATGTGAGAATGGCAGTGTAACTCTTGTTTAGGTCACATAAAGAGTGACACTCCTATTTTAGTACTTTAATTATCTTTTGCTCCTATTTAGGGAGTTCTCCCCTTCTTTATTTTGATTGCAAGGGCGCCAAACTCAGTCGACTAGGTAGGGTAGGTACTTTGAATATACATGCTTTAAGCACTTGAAGGATCCATCAGCATTGAATGGATGGGGAGACCTGACGAAGATTTATACAAACTTTGTCTTCCAAGAATGGTGATATCCCAGAGGAGGGACCTCAAGATCCCCGTAATGTCTCACTAAGGTGATGATCTCACAAAGATGCTATTGTTGAATCGAGACAAGTATTTGGATAAATTATGAGATTTATGACATATATGTTTGGCGCCCAACGGAATGTGTATACTTTGACTTTCTTACGCTCGAACTTTAGCTCGCAAACACAAATACTTGTTCACAAAGCGAGAAAATTGAGCTGTTTGGGCTTGGGATCAGACGTACAACTAGTATAGTATATGAGATATCCACCCTAGCCATGTTGAGTAGCTGAAAGCATCACAAGCTCACACTCTGACCTGAGAAGCATGGGACACGTGGAATCCCATGTGAATCAGCAATCCAACACTTGCTTTAGTCTCTGTATGTGGTGACATGAATTCCTCAGAAGTCATGAATTAATACGAAGGGACTCAGGAGAATACAAAACCAACCTTAGGCTTGAGAGAGGGCAGCGTAGGACTTGCATTTCTTGGACGGTCGTTTCCCTATCTTAAGCATATACCATTTATGCTCATGTCAGGGTTTGATAAGGCAGGCTTAACATTGAATGATGAAGCCGGCCAAATAGTAGTGGGTATTTGGAGCAAGTTGACAAAGAGAGAAGGCCGGCGTAAGTAGATCACTCAATGACCAGCGGATGAAAAGGAAATATGAGTCCAAGGGTGTGCGAAAACAAAAAAGATGTAGGCAAATCAGAACTTGGCACAAATATCGAGTTGTAACTTGTGAGATGCATTAAATAGAACACGGCTACCTATGGGGACATCTGGTCAGCTCGGAAGATGCGGTCTGCTTGAACTTTTAGCCGTTTTTGGGTACATGGAGTATTTTCCTGCGGGTTTTTCATTAACAAGTTCTTTTATGAAGAATCTACTCATCAAGCTGGTGATTGTTGTATATTTCCCCATGAGTCTGTTGGAAACAAGGTCATGTATGGTTTCCTTTACTCCCTCCCACCCAAAGTGCTTTTGATTAGGGGAGTGGGAGGATTATGATATCCACATGGGCATCTCACATTGGTTGTCCATTAGGTTTGAATTTATAGTATAAAAGAAGATTGGGGTAAACCTCACATATTAAGGATTCCTATTCAGGTAAGTTAGTGTCAAATTAACAAGCTATTCTTCTATAAGAGCCAAGCCTGTTAGTTGTTCGTGAGGTGCCTGCCCACTTGGTGGTTTCAGGCTACTGTTAGGGGTTCATTTCAGCACATGTGCGGCATGTGATGTGCCCACCTTTCCATCATCTTTGATAGAGTCAAAGAATCCACTACTCCGTATTTTTTAGCTTTGGAGTATAATGGAATAAAGCAAAATGACTCTTTAAACTGTTAGCGCTTCTTTTAATAGTGAAGTGGCAGTTAGTCAATATAACTTTTGATGCTCACCATAGGGCATCCGAAAACAGCCGCTCTATCTTTTAAACATAGGGATAAGGTATGCGTACACACACCCTCCCAAACCCTACTTTTGTGGGATTCAACTGGGTTGTTGTGCCCACCTCTTTAGTAAGCCTGTCATAGATGAACTTGGACCGCGATCTGAGTAGTATACTTTGAAAGAATTGAACATAGAAATCAGAAGGCAACATGTGAAAGCCCAATCTAGTAGCTATGAACTAGGTTAGCATAGCCGTCCCTTTGTCAGCCCAGCCAACTGTAGGTCAGTAAGTCAGTTTAAGTCTTCAAGACATGCTTCTCATCACTTTGAAGCAATCATATTTCATTTAATTGTTATAGACTATTTGGGTGGGATTGGCCCATGCATTATCTAGGCCCAAGAGCTATGTGCTCATCTTGTATATTGTATATACAAACCACCTTCGTGTGTGAAGGAGGGCCCATTAACTTCATTTATGATGATATACTTTTTCTCAAAAGAATTTGCCCCATCCTTCTGCACCTAGTCTCCCACAGGCATTATCGATATTAAAGAGTGGGTTTACGTCACACTTATATATTAAGCTAAAATCCAGTATCTAATCGATGTGAGATGCACAACACACCCCCTCAACCCAAATTGGAATAGGCAACTGAAGAGGTGGACTCTAATAGAGTAATACCATGTTTCATTGAAACTAATCTGAAAAAAACCTTAATATCTGTGCTTTACGCCTTTACCTCAATCTTCTTATAAACTAATTAGATTCAAACCAAATGGACAACCAATGTGGGATACTCAACAAAAGTCATGCAATCCTAATCATTTGTAAAAAAACTGTTTTAGTTAGATTTATCATTTAAAATTGTTTTTAATTTCCTATGGGAAATTTACATGAAAAACTGGCTATGAGTATGCTTTTTGAAACATGACTCTCTCTTAGGGCAAACGAAGCTTTTCAAACAAGACCTTTTATGATAGATGGAGTAGATGATATCATATAGAAGAATGTGAAAATGTACTGACCGGCCATTACCATGAGAAGAGTTAGCTAAACGTGCAGATTCATTGTTTGTAGAATATTGGATTTCAGATTGTTGTTCTAATACAAGAAATTCAATTGCAGCATCCACATCACCACCTACTTGCTGTAGAACCTTGCACAAGATAAAAATATAAAAAGAGAAAGAGTGGAGCAAGTCATTTCATAGTATATTATCTTTATAGTCATCATCATCATTATATGCCCCTTAATCCCAACTGTCGGAGTCAGTGAAATTAAAAAATAGTGGAAATTCATATGGAGTAGTATACAATTAGGCTGGATAAACTTTCTGTCACACCCTTCAAACAACAACAACAACAACAACAAACCCACTAAAATCTTTAAGGTGAGGTCCGGGGAGAGTGAGTGTATGCAAACCTTACCCCTACGTGGAGAGTAGAGAGGCTGTTTCCAAATTCCAAGAGACGTCAGTTCAAACCAAAAGAAACACAAAAAACAGGTAAAGCGAATGACAAATGAGAGAAGTACAAAAGATGCAAGCACATAAGTACATACAGCAAAGTAGCAAACTAAGGCACTAAGTCCTACACAAAGGTGGAACACTAGTACACTACCCAAAACCCTATCCTACCACCTTACTCCTAGACCTCCAAACACTCATATATAAGTCCATATACTAGGTTAGATTTTAAAGTTGTAAATCATGTCTAATCACATCTTTCCAACTCTTTTTACGTCTTCCCCTACCCCTCCTTATGTCCCCTACCACAAGCCTCTTACACTTACTCACTGGAGCATCCATACTTCTCCGTACGTGCCCAAACCATCTCAGTCCAGCCTCACGCAACTTATCCTCCACAGAGACCACCCCACCTTCCTCAGAAAATCTTTGTTCTGGACCTTATCCATCCTCGTATATCCCCACGACCATCTCAACATTGTCACCTCTGCCACTCGGAGCATCTGAACATGAGTGATCTTCACCAAACAGCACCCCACAATCTGACCACTCTCCAGTAAAACTTCCCTTTCAGTTTTGCTAATATCCTCTAGTAGCACTTGACAACTTAAGCAAGCTTCCGCTTCATCCAAGCAGCTCCAACATGGGGAACAACATCGCTTTCGATCTCCACATCGACATGAATGATGAATCCAAAGTATCCTTTGTAGATACTAGATGAGTATCAATATTCACTTCAACTTCTGACTCCGTCATCAAACCACTAGAGAGTAGTGTTACTAGAACCGGGAACTGAACACCAAACCTGTCTGGTGCAACACCTCAAAACCCCAGATTGGCCAGGAAAACCCCGGGAACTGGTCGCCATGCCGGTTTTTTGGCTGGTTTAGGTTCAATGACATTGCTAGAGACATTACCTGTACTTGGTCTTAGTCCTGCTCAACCTAAAACCTTTGTATTTCATGGTCTATCTCCACACCTCCGACCTATCATTAAGTCCCTCACGCGTCTCGTCAATCATTACAATTTCATCGGCAGAAATCATACACTAAGGCACCTCCCCTTTAATATCCTACATCAACACATCCAGCCCCAAGGAAAATAAGAAAGAACTAAGGGTGGACATATGACGTAAACCCATCTCTACCACCGACCAACAACAGTCAGGAAAAGAAATGATGAGCAACCGTCAAAATGTACACAGATGAGAGAGAGAAGTTCAGAAACTGTCAATGAAAAGAGAAGACATCATGTTCTCATTTTTTGGCATGCATGGAGAATATCGTGATACTGCAATGGATTGAAATATTTTAAAATAAACACAAAGGATCGTTACAGCAGAAGTGTGATCCATATGAACTACCTGTTCCACTTTAACCGCGTCTTCACACCCACTTCCGGACATAACCATTTTAACAGACCGTGACTGCACCACATTCCCGACAGCTTTGGTGGAAACCTTTACAGTTTGACTGGGGTATTTTGCTGAAATATCAGCATCGGCCTTTATATGACTAAAAAATTGTTAGACTTCCGTAGATACCCAGAACTTAAATAAAAATAATCATCTCATTCCATAAGCCAAAAGTAACAACGGATTATTCTTAAAGAAACCTTAATGTTTATAGGCCTCGCTGGTCCATTGCAGGTGTCTTCTTTCAATCTAACACTATTATAATGCTCTCCATCATGATAAGAACTGCAAATAAATCACTCTTTCTATTTGTTACATATTTCATACTAATGCACACAGGATTCCCTTAGGTAAAACATACTCCATAGTCCTTGCAATGTTTCTGCAGGTATACATACTTGAGCAGAAAAAAACATGTACACCTCAAAAATTTTTGCTAGATATTCAGTCAAGCTTAAAAATAATCCTTCATATGGTAAAATTGTTTGACTATACATTACAAATAAAAACAATAAACTGAATAAAGGTGTTTAAAACACCAAAACTGACACAGTGTCAATTAGGAAAGGTTGTGTCATTTAGTTGTCTTCACAAGGTAGGAATGTAATCGAACATTCAAAACACTGAAATGCTGTCTATCATGTCTTTCACTTACATAGTCTTACAAAAACGTTCATACTCTAAATTCAAAATTTCCAACACTACAAAACTATCCCTTGAGCCCCTTTACTCTTATAAATCAATTAAACAAAGCAATGTAAGCTCTACGCATATAAAAAAATTACTTACAGATGGATCATCTGAGCTTCATGGTTGTCAAAATTTTGTATGTACCATCGAGGCGACATGTGCTGTAAATAATAGTGTTTAAAAGGAAGATATGATTTACCAATCAATCAAAAGTCATTTGATGGCATATCAGAGCGCCATGAGTGAAGAAACAGATTTAGTTGCCACATTAACACATAAGTCTGAAAGTTACTATCAAATTCCTACTCTACAAAACAGAGATAGAAGTATGAGGCGGGCAGTGAATTACTCGGTGAATGCATATGTTACTGTGAGTAACAAGAGAAGCAGCTTGTAGTTCCATGTGGCCTGCCCAAGTCCCATCCTTTTCCATGGATTCACAATACTCAACAAACGGAACGTCGTCTTCAATAAAGGGCTCAAACGTCTCACGATTCCTCTGTGAAGTATATTTCCCCAGAAATCATCCCACTTCAATCAGAATCCATGTGAAGGCTAGAAAAATATCTTGACAGCAAATGCTATGAATTCAAAGAAAATGACCCTTGGTATTTGAAAAAAAAAATCAAAAAAATCTCAAGATGTTTACCCTGATGTATTGCACAACCATACTCCGATATTTCGCATGCTCATCCTCATCGCCTTCCAACTGATCAGCTACAGCTCTGGAAATTGTTTCTGGACTGTCTCAGTATTTCTGATCATGAAAATTAATCAAAAAAACATCACACAACAGAGTCTAAAATCGCAGACCTGAAGAAACAATTACCATCTGATGTCACTTGAACAATTTTTAAGCCCAAGGCGTCGAGCTGAGCACGAAATTCAGATATATCGACCGGCTTTCCATGTTTTTTGATCTGCTCCATCCAATACATTGATTATTAAAACACATTTCAAAAAAAACATTATGAATGTCGATCGATACATATATGAAAAGGACCGGAATTAACCAACAAAATAGTATATGGTTGTCCGGAGTGAAGGAAAAAGATGAACAGCGGTCAATCGTACTTTGGTTTGCTTGTTGTTGCTAGGTTTCGACTTTTGATGCCTGGTCTTCGCCATGAATCTACGGCTACTCCTTCGGCAGCTCCCCGGCAATATACCGTACCGTCGTCTTAAGAGTTAAGAGGAGGAAGATGAAATTTCCCGTCGTCCGTGGAATTGACTGTTAGGTCAAGCGGCGACTGTGCAGATAAGAGGAGAAAATACAAGGAAAAAAAAGAGTAAATTCCATAAAAGTCGCCAGTTATAGATATCAAATATTACTAATTTAGTCTTTCAATTATTATATGATTTTTCACGAATGATTTTTTGTTAACATTTTTACTAAGACCATGGATAAAATTGTATATTCATATTTCTCTCTCCTCAATTAAGCTTTCTCCCTCCACTCGTACTCTTTTCCAAACTCGTCGCTGAGTTTGAAGCTATAAACCCAAAATTGAAATGATCATTTCTCTCTCAATTATTAGTCTTCCTGGGGAACTTGAAATCAATATCAATAAGCTTTAAAACGACCTATAACTAAGAACTTATTATAAAATTCACTCAACAAATAAAGTAAAGATACGAAGTACGAAAGTATGAGTGAGAGAATTGTTGGCATTAAAAGAATTTTTAATAATGTTAAGTTTTTAAAAATATTTCAAAGTCTTTCACTTTGTAATCAAATATAGAGTAGTCTTGACTAAAAAGAATAGGTTAGTTGTGTATGGTATATTTAATTTTTTAAAAAAATAAATGAATTAAACAAAAAATGCAAGAGGACCTAAAAATAAAAATTACCGTATAAATTTTACAAGAATCAAAATATCTATTTAAACTAGGAGATAACTATTTGCAAAAATAATACTTTCACCGTCCTCAATAGATTTTGAAACTTGAATAATTTTATTTTCAATTTAATTTATTTAATTGTATGTGTAAAAATTAAAAATAAAATTTATATGGAAAAACTTGCATGAAAAGATTATACCAAACAAGAGGTAACAAGATTATACTATTTTATGAAATAAGTAATATTCCCTTTATCCCTACTTTGATTACGAATTGAGAGTTACGAAGTAAAATTTCTCATCTTTTAAAACCATCTTATTTAAAAATTTGTATATCAAAAAAAAAATAAAATTTATATATTAAAAATCACGTCAAAAATTCTATAAAATGAAAGTCGAAAGGTTACAAGAATATTTTATTTTATCAAATATTCAATGAAAACATTTAAATATACAAAAATTATCAAAAAGAATGAAAAAAATTATAATCTATTTTGAAATGAAAGAAGTAATATAAGCAAACTAAATTTGATCATGTAAATAATGTCTAAGAAATTTGAAAACGGATTTAGTAATTTCATAGACAATTTAATTAAAAAAGTTAAGATATTAAAAATTAAACTCGCTAATCCCATAAGAATCAAAAACATACTCCCTCCGTCCCAAATTATTTGTCACATTTCTATTACCGAGGCAAAATATCAAGTTTTTTCAATTCATTTTATTTACATATTGGTAAAGAAATAAAAAATAAAAATTACATATCAAAAAACTACATGAAAAGTTCTTCGAAATAAGAGTTGTCAAGAATATTTTATTTTATCAAATAACCAATGAAAACGTAGAAATAAACAAAAGTTCTCGCGACTATTGAAAAAGCAAATGTAGCAAATAATTTGGGACGGAGGGAGTAATTAACATCATAATTTTTGTATGTTCTTGGCATGTCTCTTTTTCCTTTTACATCCTTTGAGATTCATCATTTTGTTTTTTGATTATGTAAAAAGAATAACAGTGGAAAAAGAAAAGAAAGAATGGTCAAATAAAGTAAGATGTGGGGTTAGGTAAAAAAGGATTAAAGGAACCTGGGAAATCGGCATCTCAGCAGTCCCTAAGCTCTCATCATTCTGGGAATATATTTTTTTCCTTCAGTATTCCTCTCTGAAGACGATGAATTTCAACTGCCCGTGTCGTCTTTGAGCCCCAGGCGCCGCCGTGTTTCGCGGCGCAGCACGACCCTCACAGGATGAACAGTCGCCGGAGATTCAACGGAGGGTCGCAACAAATTGCCTCTGTAAAAGGGAGTCTCATTCTTCTCCTGTCGCTGCTTATCTTCTTCGCCGCCCCTTCCGCCGCCTGCTCTGACGGCACCTGCCAGGTTCCAACCTCTGTTCAGATCCAGTGCAATTTTGAAGTTTTATTTTGAATAATTCAGATGAGTTTTAATTTTTTTTCTTTTGGGTTTTTTTAGGTTCGGGATTCATGTGCTGCGGCCACCGACTGTAGCCCCGGGCTTTACTGCGGGAATTGCGCCGCAATGGGGAAGAATCAACCGTTTTGTATCAGAGGACAGGCAACTATACCCACTTCCATTGTGAGTTTCTTTACAAAAAAAACTTACTTTTTAATTTTTAATTAATTATTTTTGAATGTTTTTTTTTCTGCCTGAAATGATGAGAGTAATGGGGTGGCAGATGAGTGGGTTGCCCTTCAACAAGTACTCATGGCTGGTGACCCATAATTCATTTTCTATAGTTAATGCTCCATTACTGACAGGACCTCAGAGAATCACCTTCACTAATCAAGAAGACAGCGTTACAAACCAGTTATTGGTATGATTATGATACTAATTATCCAGCTTTTACTTATAAGTTCATTCATTTCAGTAGTTTTTAATCGAAAAGAGGAGACTCAAACTCGTAAGAAATTGATTTTTGAGTAATTTTATAATGGGTGCTTACAGAATGGAGTTAGGGGATTCATGCTGGATATGTATGATTTCGAAGACGATATCTGGCTCTGCCACTCTTTCAATCGCCATTGCTTCAATATCACTGCTTTTGTAATATGCCCCCTATCTCAATTCTCTCTTTATGATTTAACATAGGATTCACTGCTCATAAATTGACTGATGGGTTTTCACAGGAGCCAGCGATTAACACGCTTAGAGAAATAGAATCATTCTTGTCTGCAAGACCTTATGAGATAGTCACCATTATAATTGAGGATTATGTGCACAAACCTAGAGGTTTGAGCAAAGTGTTTAGCGATGCAGGGCTGGACAGGTATAAGTTTCCAGTTTCTGAGATGCCCACAAAAGGTCATGATTGGCCCACTGTAGATGAGATGGTTGCTAAAAATTACCGTTTGCTGGTTTTCACTTCTGATTCTTCAAAGGAGACAGCAGAAGGAATTGCGTATCAGTGGAATTACATGGTGGAGAATGAGCGTAAGTACTCTTAATTTACAGCTTCGCACTCCGTAATTCCAAAAGATTGTTACCATGCATATGTAGATATAACAACTAAGAACACTAAATATGAACTAGTTATATGAAGTATATACTCTTTCTCTTAAAAGTGAGATATACCTTTGGAATGGATGAGAAGGGGAAAAAACTGACCATAAATGGAAATGTTTTTCACTCCTCAGCTGGAGATCCTGGACTGCGGCCTAGATCATGTACCAACAGGAAGGAATCCAAGGGACTTGATTCAAGAAGTGCTTCTCTATTTCTAATGAACTACTTCCCAACAATTCCTGTTCAAGATGAAGCTTGCAAGGAGCATTCTACCCCACTATCTGATATGGTTAAGAGCTGCTATAAAGCAGCAGGGAACTTGATGCCGAACTTCGTGGCAGTAAACTTTTACATGGTAAATAATTCTACATTGCTCTCTGGATAAGTTACTGAAAAGTAAAAAAAATGTTTCTATATCTCAACCGGGGAAGATAAAATTGCAGAGGAGTGATGGAGGGGGTGTTTTTGATGATCTGGATCAAATGAATGGTCAGTCTTTGTGCGGGTGCAATACGATAACTGCTTGTAAGGTTCGTCTTCTTTCTTGAATGCACATTTTCAGCTTATTCCACTTATATATGCAGAATCAGCTCAGCTCAGATTTTTTTTTAAAATAAATTTTATTACTACATATTGTTTGTTTATATAGCATTAAAGATATGAACGTCTAAAGATTATTAAAATGCTTATCATCAAATGGTGATTTGGCAGGTAGGTCAATATGGAGTGTGCAAGGACATTGCAGCACCTAATACAACTCCAGGGACAAACAACAAGGGCGGAACTTTTTCCGGGTCTGTCCAAATGACCAGCGCCGCTGCGCCCATCATCGAATCCGCAACCACATTTTACATTTTCTTCCTCTTTTGCCCCTTTCTACTATAATCAGTGTTTCCCAGTGTTGAACCTTTCAAAAAGACACTCTAGCTAACTTTACCCATTGAAATATATATATTTCCTCCAGTTGTTTACAGACAACAAATTACTTAGTATGTACCATCACCATATGAATGAATGTGCTGTTATTATGTACAGAAATGGATGGAGATCAATCAAGAAATGAGTAAGGTAGGGGTAGGTGGTTTCAGGGTTGCTTTGGGTAGAATCTGAAGAGATGGACTAATGGTGAGGAGGGCAATGAAGCAGTCCATGGGAATCCTCATTCCCCACACGTTAATGGATTCCAGTTTGCAGCATTTGTTCACCAGAGCTATGAGTCCTCTCTCGCTCACGTGCCGGCAACCCCACAGTACAATACTCTGTTGTCACAGACAAGTGTTTTTTTGAAGGCAATAAAAATAATGTACTCCCTCTGTCCACCATAGATCTTCCCAGTCATTATTCACATGGTCAAACTTACTCACTTTGTTTACTTAATTTTACTAGTCATTTCATAAAATAATATAGTCTTGTCACCTCTAGTTTTGTAGAACTTTTCATGTAGTTTATTACTATATAAATTTTGTTTTAAAATTTTTACTCCTATAATCAATTAAATTGAATTGAAAATAAAGTCAGTCAAGCCTCGTAACGCGTAATGGGAAGATCATACATGGACGGAGGGAGTAATAAGCATTACGAGGAAACCAACTTTTCTTTGGGGCACCATCCCTTAGTAAAGGTCACCTGTAAATGCGGGCAACTGTCTGAGATGGCAAACAAAGATGTGTCTGTTATAAAAGTCCCTCCAATGTTCAGATGTTTTAGGGAGACTGCCCTAGAAATCTGGAAAAAAAACCATGTACATTACTTTAAATAACATTTTCAAAATGTTGAAATCAAACTGATCCTTACCAGTTGAACAACGCCTTGATCTGTGATCCCTGTCGTTCCCCACAGCGACACAGACGACAGTTTGCTTATACATTTCGCCATGGACAATCGACACAGTCCATTGTCTGTTATTTGGCACCCCCAACGGCTTCTTGATCTTGTGCAACAAAAAAAAAAGAAATATTTGCACTAAATAGCACTAAAACTTAAGTCATTTCTTTAAATAACATTTAAATTATTTTATTTCCTAAATAGTACTTAATAATGTCTATAATGACCAGTGATGACAAATATTTACTTGAATAATAACTAATGCATAATGACTAAAAGTGCTACATTGGGAAAAAAAATACATGTAGTGCTATTTAGGGAAAGTCATTATGTTTTAGTGCTATTTACGTAAATTCCTCAAAAGAAAAAGCAATCAACCAACTCAATCAAAAGCTTGAAATAATGATATTTTATACTCTAACAATAGAATAAAAATAGTTTACATACATGTCAAGGTCTTTAAGACTGTGAGCATGGAGAACGAGGCGAGTGGCGGAATCGTCGTCGACTCTCCAGCCGGAAAAACTCAACCTCTCTCTCACCGCCAGCGAGTTCCGCACGCCCTGCCGCCATCTCCGGCTAACGCCGCTCGCCCTGAAATTCAAAAGAAAATAAATTAAACAAAAAGAAAAAGAAAAAACAGAGAAACAGTCAATAATTAGACGGGGGGGGGGGGGGGGGGGANTCTCGTCTCTTCATCGATTTCGAATACTTCTTCTTCTCCGGCAGAGGATTATAGCTTTATGGTTTTCAGAGATGGCGCCTTTAAATGCAGAGGGAAAGATGAAGACTTCTTTTTTAGAAGGAGAGAGAAATGTGGAGGGGAAAAAGTGTGGTCATATACTCGTCACATGAAAGACATTTTTCAAAAATTATTGTTATGCCGAAGTCCCTGTATATTAGATTTGGGGAATTGGGGCCCATATAACAAAGTATTCTCCTGTTTATGGGCTATGCCGCGGAGGCGCGAATGGGCCTATGCAAGTCGAGCGAATATTTTAATGAAAAATTTACCTAAATAGGACTAAAACAAATTACTTTTCCAATATAGGATCTTATGTTTTTATTTCTCGAAGTAGGACCTTTAGTTATTATCAAGTAGTCATTATTTAAGTAAATACTCCCTCCGTCCGGGAATGATAGTCCCATTGTACGTTTTTCTCCGTCCGGGAATGATGGTCCCATTGTACCCTTTTTCCTATATTCTCCCTAAAATACCCCTCTCATTTAATATCCTCACATTCACTCCTATCTACTCAACCCACCTCCCCAATTAAACTCTCTCGCCCACCTCCCAGATCTATACTCTCTCTCTCTCTCAGTCGGTTCTTCTTCTCTCCATCCCTGTGCTTCTCTCGTTCCTCTCCCAGATCTATACATCTCCGCCTCAAATCATGGAATCTGAATACTTTCTTTACGATTCCATCATCCCTGAGACGGAATTTCAGGACATTGGAGTTGAGGACGATGTGATTCATCTATCTTCCACCTCTGACGCGAAGAAGGAGGACGAGGTCATCGTCATCCACAGCGATGACGATGATGCCGATGTTGCCCCAGTCAGAGATAAGAAGGCGGTTATCGTCCTTGACTCTGATGAAGATTCACTGTTTGGGAGCGAGGAAGATGGCAGTTTTGAGGATGTAGAGGGGTCTGAATTTCTTGAGAATCAGACTTCTCCATCCATGAACTCTTGCATGCACCTCCACATCGATCTGCTGAACATATTAATGCTCACCCCGGATCCTAACTTTTGGGCTTCACAGTACAAGTAGGGATGTTCCTTTCCTTTCACTCTAATTCTTTCTGAATTTATTCTGAATTGAATTTCAAATCTGTGCTTCTCTTAAGTGGAGAGTGTGTACTGTGATGAGCATTTTCCTATGAATAAGTTAAGTATGTATTGTGATGAGCCATTTGCATATCTGGAAATGGATCTGAGTACCAATGGATGTGCCCTGAGAATAAAGTGTGTGCTAATTGCAATGTGTAAATGCCTTGGCCAATGTCTATGAAGACTGCTACTAGCATTGTCTGAGACTAAAAGTACTATGATGATGTGGGATATGCCTCTGAGTACTAAAGTCAGCAATGATGATGTGGGATATGTTTTTGGGACTGATATGTTGGCTGTTGTTTATATGTGAACAAAATTACATTTAGAGTAGATTGTGTGTAGTTACCTTGATGTGAGTACATATATAACAGTGTATAAGCAGGTGCAAAAACCAAATAAACCAATCTACCTAATGTGGGTACCAGTTACATAATCTGGTTACCTCTTAACGAAAAACAAAAACCCAAAAACCATTGATGCTTACAATGGCTGCTGCTAATGCTCTCAGATTGGTCCTCTTTCTTAGAGGAGTGTCTGCAACTACTTGTAAATCCATGAAAGCCCTCTTCCTGCCACTGTTTCCTGCAATCCTACTGCTCACATCGATGGCAACCCCATCCTCTAACTGTTTTTTTGCAATAGCCCATATTCTGCCGACTGTTTTTCGACAGATATTAAACTCTGAAGCGAGTTTCTTGATTTACCCATACTGAGCTGAAAATGTACCATCAGGATTCTCTTTGCAATGACGTAGTAGTGCTTCAGCAATCAACTGCCTCGTTGTGTTCTCCAAATTATTGGAGTTTATGTCTAAACTCATTTACGTGTTTACGTGTAGGCCACCGGGAAGACAAGAGGAAAACAGCAAAAAGAAGAAGAAACTGAAAAAGGGCATGAAGAAGAAGAATGGCAGATTTGGGTGCTGTGACTGGTTTCTAAAAAGAGAATATGCTTGAAGAATGTGGCTGCTAAAAATAGAAAGTGCCGAAGTGGGGGTTTTAAAGTGATGTAATATCCCATTTTGAATGGGTTTTAGGGGTAGTTTTGGGCGGGTAGTTAAAAAATGGGGGGAATATGAATTTTTTTTGGTGTTTTAGATTGTAAAGTACACTTTTTCCACTTTCTCCCAATGATTGCAAGATGTGACTTTTACTTTATGTTCCATCCGCCACTTTCTCTTCTTTCTTATCCTCACCCCTTTTTTTAAAGCAAGGGTAAATTGGACATTTCAAAGTCTTTTTCCACTCCTCTTAAAAATAAGGAAAAGTCAAAGTGGGACTATCATTCCCGGACGGAGGGAGTATCCATCATTACTAGACATTATTTCTTCCACTAATCATTATTAGGTCTTACTTAGAGAATAAAAAAGTGTATGTCCTACATTAGGAAAGTCATTATGTTTTAGTCATATTTAGTGCAAATTTCACTATTTTAATCTTTTCCACCACAAGCCGAAAACTCACAAAAACGAAAAGTTCAAAAATATTGTCCCAACTGAATTGCAAGATTTTTTTTCTCAACCTCGATCAATCAAAAGACGCTACCACGCTGAAAAAGTCCCAATCGATTAGTTTTTGTTCAAAAGATTTAGAAGGAAAAGAAAAGTAAAATATGTTTTCTCTATTTTTTGTCACTAATGGGCTTATTAGCTTTTGAGATTAATAGCACGATTAGTTTCAATTTTTTAATATGATTCAATCTTGTAATTTATGATCTCTATCTATTAATCTCTATCTAATCTTAGGTTTTATCAAGTATTCTTTTCTCTTCTTCTCTAACCATTTCAGGAAAAAATATTTCATAATTCATTTTTTCTTTTGAATTCTTGAACAAACATAATGTTAAGAAACTGTTAGTGGGGTGAAATTATTTAAATAATGTTACAAATTTTATTAAATTGATTTAAATAATGGTATGCAATTTCAAAATAAGAAACTTTCTTTTCTATTTCATTTTTTTATTTTATTTAAATAATGGAACAAAATTTTAAAATAAAATTTATGTTTTAAAAAACTAAGTCATATGTTATACGGAGTATTTAAGAAAGTGTGGCATGACTATGTTTTAGCAAATGATTAAGGAAAATAAATAAAGAAAATGAAAATAGTTATCTAATAAATAGTGGAGTAAGAAAATTAATTTGGAACACAGTTACTATATAGATATTATAAATAAAATGCAAAAGTATTAAACATACTATTGAAATAAATATACTCCGTAATAATTATGTTTACCAAGTAACAATGGATACGGTGTAGAATATTTATAGATGGGAATACAAGCTCAACTAGAACTATAAAAGCAGTAATAGAAACTGACTAAAATATAGATTCTACCATATTTAATATCGACTATGATTAATTATTTAAGATTCCCTTCAAGCTGAACGTTGTGTCTCAAACAGAAGCTTGGAAACAAAAGTCTGAAAACGTGGTTTGGACAATGACTTGGTCAATAATTCAGCTAGCTGGTCTTCACAGAAAGCGTGGGACAAGGTCATAGTACGAGCAATAATTTGCTTGAGAACAAAGTGACAATCTGTACCTACGTGCTTCATACGCTTATTAAAGACTGGATAAAGAAAAAACACTTGCGATTAAGCCGTGGAAAGGAAAAAACAAAAAAGCTATGCTCCAACACCATATTGAAACAAACAGAATAATTGTATTTTACCAAGTAACAATGAAATAATTCCATGTTTAATAATTGTATTTTATAGATGGAAATTTAAGCCTAACTAGAACTACGAAAGTAATAATAGAAACTGACTAAAACATAGATTCTACCCATTTTCTCTATCGAATAAATTGTGAAGTTATCCATGCTCTCCCGAGCTCTGGTGGAAGATAGAAGATTGGCTCTGACGGAAGATAGAAGATAAGGTAGAGTGAGTGAATGATTATTAAGATAATTGGGAAGGGGCCTATGGTTATGGGAAATAAGTACATCTAAAATGAGAAAATACTCCTAATATAATACTTCCTCCTTCCCCAATTTGATTATAATTTTTTTTCTTTCTCCTTTTCATAATTTTTTGTTTGTTTACGCGATTTCATTAAATATTTGATAAAATAAAATATTCTTGTCACTTCTTGTTTTGTAGAACATTTGACGTAGTTTTTTAATATGTAATTTTTATTTCTGGACACCGTACAATTCTCCATTTATAAAATTGACAGTTCCTATCCCTCTTAACCAAATCGGTAAACCCCCCACTCTTTCAGGAACCCACCGCCCCACCCCCTTTAGAGACAGAATGTTGACTACTCCGGGTATAATTTTCAAACTCCCGTTACTATATTCTTATTCCTAGAAGAGCAAGTAAATTCCATAATTGGTCCTTTATAACAGGGGGGTTTCCATATTTAGTCTTCTATTATCAAATATTACCCCCGTAGTCCTTTTTTTAAAAGGTACCTTTCCACGAATAGTCCTTTTTATTAATCTTCTGCCGTGTTGATGTTAATTTAAATGCTAAAAATATAATTTGACGTCAACATTATGTCTAGTGACGTGTTCCGATATTTGTTAAGCGGATAACACAAAAATAATGACTATGATTGTGGGCTAAGATTCTGACGAAAGATCACATTTGTAGACTATAGTTGTCGTAAAAAGCGACTGTAATTCACAAACGATGCAAACGGAACAGCCTTTGGAATTGTGTATGACAAAAAAGATATATTATCATTGTGGAATTACACTTTTAGCCCTCAAATTAACACCAACATGATAGAAGATCAAAAAAGGACTATTTGTGGAAAGGTACCCATAAAAGAAGGATTACTTAGGTAATATTTGATAATAGAGGACTAAATATGGAAACCTCCTGTTATAAATGACCAATTATAGAATTTACTCTTCCTATACATTTGTTTGTTCAGATTCCGAACATTTCCATCTACATAATTCAAATTGCATTAAAAATGAAGGCAAAAAGGCTCAAGTTATTCAAAATGTGTGGGGCACCCAATTGGGCACAAGTCTACATACTCTACTTGCTTGTGATGGCATTGAATGGAGTACAAGTCACTGCTCTTCTCATAACAATCTCCACTCTCATTAAACTGCATGCCAGATTGAGGCATCTATGTATTGCAGCTGATCTCATCTCACCCAACTCAATCTCTTTATTAACTGTTGCACCATTACAAATAATTATTCCAACACAAAATAAATATGATGCATTGGCCTTTCCAAAGGGATCTCCATTCTTTATCCTCTTTTTTTTATAATTTAAACCCAAGATATTTATATATCCAACTTGCATATCTATGCAACTAGTGCAATGGAGTGTGGCTATTTGCCCAATTGCCCAATGGCATGTGCAACAGATTGCCTAACATTTCGTCATATTCAATTCACTACAATAATAATTTATTACCCTATGTTATAAAATTTATAATAAACTATAGTTATTTTCACATCGAGATACAAAATCAAGAGTGGATGTTAGAAGAATTAAATGTAAAATTGGTTAGGTTTTTTTAACGGGAAATTTACTTAAATAGTACTAAAACATAATGACTTTTTCTTAATAGCATCACATGTGTTTTTCTTCCCAATGTAGTACTTTTAGTCATTATTCAAGTGAATATTCACCATCACTAGACATTATGAATATTATTAAATGCAGTTTAGAAAATAAAAGAGTTTAAGTGCTATTCAGGGAAATGACTCAAGTTTTAGCGTTATTTAGTGAAAATATTTCTTTTTTAACACTGCATTCGGGTGTCGACATCGAAAGTTGTTCTGTTCCCCTCGTTTAATGCCGAATAAATTCCAATTTGCTACACAAAATTAAGGATGAGTGTCAGGATTTGAGGTTTGAATCTCAATATCAATAGAAGCGCGATACAAAAGAATATCTTAATAAATCACTACTTTCTTCAATTTAGTTCATTAATTAATAATAACTGCCATGGCCATATCTTCTGCATCTACTCTCCAATTTTTTTACATTTAATTAACATATCGACTAAAGAGTAGTAAATTGATACGGAGTAATTGTTTAAAAGAAATAATCTCAAGTTGGGAAAAATGTGGTGAAGAATGAACGAATTTGAGCCGCTGATTGGAAACCTTCCAAATTTTGCAATCATCATCATCTGACGTTGACCCACCCGTCGGAATCTGGAGTCCAATTGGGGAAGAATTTATGGCCGAACATTCCCTGCAGCCTGCTCGCCGGCGACTGTTCAGATCCCGGCGAGGAAAAAGACGCCGGTGACGGCGCCGCCAGAGGAGATTCTTCTCCTGAGACCCATTCTGGGAAATCGAATGGGCATCTCGGAGACGGCGAGGGAGCTGATGGCGAGTACTCCTTACTCAATGCAACAGTGCCGCCGCCGTCGCGGTGGTCGTCGGCGCCGAAGGGATGGTTCAGGAGCATCTCCGCCGTCCATCTCTTTCTGGGATCCTTGATGAAACACTTTTCAAGAAAATCTCTGCCCTGATCCGATAACTCGCCGGGAAATCCGGGCACCTCGTCTCCCACCCCAATTCTCATAAATAGCCCCGCCACGTCGGAGTACTTCCACGCCGGCGCCCCACTCGCCATCTCAACTACCGCGCAACCAAGCGCCCAAACATCGGCGGGAGCGCCCTGTTCTCCGCCGTTCACCATCTCCGGCGACATATACATCGGGGTACCCCTCAATTCGCATCCCAAACTCCTCTCCCCCGCCCTTTTGGCCAACCCGAAATCCGCAATCTTGACCCGCCCGTCGCCGCACAACAGAACGTTCTGAAGCTTAATGTCGCAGTGGACGAACCCAGCCCGGTGAATGAATTTCAGCCCGCGAAGCAGAGCCCGGGAATATCCCCTGATCTCCCCCTCCTGAAACCGCCGGTTCTCGGAAATCTTGAGGTTCTCCGACAGAGCGCCGAGAGAGGCGAATTCCAACAGCACATTATACATCCTCTCGCCGTTCTCGAAAGTGTATCCGTCCCCGAGACAGCGCACGACCTCCGGACAACCTTGGAGCTCGTCAAGAACGACTTTCTCGTTCAACAGCGAGCCAACGGAGGAGGCGCCGCAAGACTTGACCACCACCGACGGCGGCCCTGAACCGGCGACCGCCAGGCTCACTTTCCCGAAACTCCCGTGCCCCACCGTCTCGCCGCGAACCCAATTCATGTCGGCAATTTCTGTTAGGATTTTGGGTTTCTTGAGGAAGAGAATTATTGAGAACAACTTGAAGAGGAGTACAAGACTAAAGTATATACTCCTAGGCTGTGTTATATACTCCCTCCGTCCCAAAATATTCACAACATTTGCTTTTTCAGCAGTGTCGGGAACTTTTGTTTAATTCGACGTTTTCATTGATTATTTGATAAAATAAAATATTCTTAACACATCTTATTTCGAAGAACTTTTCATGTAGTTTTTTTACATGTAAATTTTATTTTTTATTTCTTTATCAATATGTAAATAAAATGAATTGAAAAAACTTGATATTTTGCCTCGGGAATACAAATGTGGCAAATAATTTGGGACGGAGGGAGTATATACACACACATACCGAGTTTTTTCTTTTTTTGGTATTTAATTTATTTAATGGAATCATTTAATGAAAAGACTAAAATAAGGGTAAAATATTGAAAATATATCAAATAAGACTTCCATATTTTTTATTCTGAAATAGAAAAAAAAATGCATTTACATTACTAAAAAGTATAGTAATGTGCACGTGTATTGTGTCACATTACCACATTACGAATTTCTAGTTCACGAATAAAAATATTGAAGTCATATTTTAATATATTTTTTATGTTATAATCTTATTTAGAGTGATTTCCACCTGATTTAATAATTTCTTCATCAAACAATAATCTTCCCATTCACTAATCTTTATTCACTTTGTTGATGTATTTTCGTTGTTCATTGTATAAAATAATATAGTTATGTCACTTCTAGTTTTTTAGGTCTTTTCATGTAGTTTTTAAAAGTGTACTTTTTATTTTTTTAATTTAATACAATTTTTTATATAAATAATTTGAAAATAACTTCAGTCAAATAATGCATAAAAGAAACAATTATTATTGAACGGAGGAATAGATTAATTGGTAAAAAATATAAAGGGAAATATAAGAGTGGTTGTTTAAAAGAATGGTGGGTTGAGATATTTTAGGGAAAGAATGGGAAAAGAGCACGTGATTGTTAAAGAATGGGGGGAGTTTGGAAAACGTGGCTGTTAAGGCGGGAATCGTATACTCCCTCCGTATATCTCGCTTTTGGATACGAGTATTATACACGCAGTCTTATTATTACTAACAGAATTTCTTTTACCCACGCGGATGGGACCACGCCATTTACCGCCTCCCTCCCGCACTACTTGTTTTTCACGCTTCACATTTACCACTCCTACTTGTGCTTATCTTTTTAAGCATGGGTTACATTTAATAATACTCCCTCCGTCCTAAAACTTTCTTCCCGGTTTGCAAAACGAAAAAAAATCTCAAGTTTTTTCAATCTATTTTATTTAAATATTGGTATAGAAATAAAAAATAAAACATACATATTTAAAAACTACATCAAAAGTTCAACAAAACAAGTGGTGACAAGAATATTTTATTCTATCATATAGGCCATGAAAAAACACAAATAAATATAAATTCCCGTGAAGTTGGAATAGTGCTCTGAGAAGAAAGTTTTAGGACGGAGGGAGTAGCAATTTGTCCTAATAATTAATGTTTTAAAAGATTTCCGGAAATTTTGTAACTGATATTTGGATGTGCTTTGGAATGGTGTTTACCACATAAAAAGCAAATGAGGTTAATCCCTCCCCCCTATACAAAATTTTATTTTTTTTCTGTTTGTCTAAAAAATAATCACTCTTTGTTTTAAAAAAAATGATAAACGGTTCAAGAAAAAAATTCATTCCTTCCATACATGGTTAAATGGATCAGAAAATATGTGGTTAAAAATAATGTACATGGAGTATGAAAATGTTCACAAATGAGTGTGCACGAAAATTTTTAAAAAGGAAATTATGTGGTTAAAAATAATATAGATGGAAAAGAAATTATAAGGTCACGAATTCTTTTCCAAAAGTGAAAAGTGAAAACTCGCAAAATAAAAAGCAAATGAGATGAATTCTTCCCTCCTATACAAATTTTTATTTTCTTTTATATTTGTCTGAAAAAATTACTTTCTATTTAAAATAATTATATATGGTTCGTCACCAATTAAGGGCAAATTAAATACCGATTCGCACATTATTGGATTATACGGAGTACATGACTATTCCTTTGTCTCATATTTTTCTTCTCATTTTGATTTTTATTGTCACCATCTTAAAATTTTGATTATAATTGTTAGACATATATGGAAAGAAGTCTAGTTATGGTAGAATTGTATTTATGTTAGTTTACATATTTGGTGAATCCTAGTCCATGTAGGGATCCTCACCTATATAAACATCCATGTACACAATTATTCCTTAAGAGTGAATTCATAAATCAACATGGTATCAGAGCTCAAAGATCCGTGTCTCTCCCCTTTGCTGCGTTAAACTACCGAAAGAAAAAAAAATCGGCACTGCCGATTTCTTCTCCTCTGTTCAAGCCGTGCACANCCTATCCCATTGACCATACAGGTTCAGGTATACTCACCACCCCTCTCCACACTTTTACCTTAACCAACCTTCTCCATTCCCCTCACATTAATTCTCATCTTCTTTCTGTCCATCAATTTACTAAAGATAACAATTGTTCTCTTCTTTTTACCTCTAAGGATTTTACGATTCGGGACAATCTCACCAACCAAGTTCTTTTCAAGGGCCCTTGTGAGCGTGGTCTGTACTCCATACCGGCATCTCCCTCTTCTCTGGTGGTCAACTCTGTCAAAGTCACTCCGTATCAATGGCACTGCCGTCTTGGTCATCCCTCAGCTCAAGTCACAAAGTCTTTATTGTCTCAATTAGGTTTTAGATTTCAACATCTTGATCATTGTAATTCTTGTTCTATTGCCAAGTCTCATAAACTCCCCTTCCCAGTGTCTGATACTAAAACATCTGCTCCATTTGAACTTATTCACTCTGATGTATGGGGACCTACTTCTGTACCCTCCTTTGGAGGTTATCATTTTTATATTAATTTTATTGATGACTATACTAAGTTTTGCTGGTTGTACCCTCTTAAAAATAAATCTGATGCATTTGATGCTTTTCTCAGTTTCCAATCTATGGTTCAAACTCAGTTCAATGCATCTCTTAAGCTATTTCGAACAGATAATGGGAGGGAATATGTCAATAAAAAGTTTGGGTTGTTTTTACAAAGTTTGGGAATTCTCCATCAAAAATCTTGTCCTTACACTCCTGAACAAAATGGTGTTGCTGAAAGAAAGCACCGTCACTTGGTTGAAACCCTTGTCACACTCCTTTGCACAGCCAATCTTCCAGCAAAATTTTGGGTTGAGGCGTTGGCTACTGCAAATTTCTTGATCAACCGCATGCCAAAAAGGTCTCTTAATCATAAATCCCCTTATGAGTCTCTGTTTCAAAAAGCTCCAGATTACAATCTTCTCCGGGTGTTTGGGTGTTTAGTTTATCCGTGTCTACGTCATGAAATCACAAATAAATTCCAACCACGGTCCAAACCCTGTGTCTTCCTTGGGTACGATTCCTCGTCAAAAGGATACCGCTGTTTTGACCTCACCACGGGTCGTGTATACATCTCTTGTCATGTCCAGTTTCAAGAAAGTCAGTTTCCATACTCCACCGTCCCTACACCCACAGGGTCTTCCGTCACATCTCCGTCATTCCTTGGTGTCCTTCCCATTTTTCCGATTGAGTCGTCGTGTACTCCACTCCACGCTCGCAAGGATACCACAACCAACCAACCCAGCCATCTCTCGGTCCTCCCCACTATACCACACCCGATGACCAACCCAAACCCAAACCGCCCAGCACCC